CGAACCTGATAAAACGCCCCCCTGGTCACGGCCGACAGATGGTCATCCAGTGCCAGCCGTGAATCCAGGAGGACTCCCAAGTTGCGCGCCCTCTCCGAGGGGGCCAAGGTTTCGCCCCCTATAGTCAGCGATGGCGTCAGCTGACTATGCCGAGGCGCCGGCAACCACAGCCACTCGGTCTTGGAAGGGTTGAGCCTGACTTTCTGACTTCCTGAGCTGAGCTTCTCGGAAAGACTTTGGCAGTGCCCAGTTCCCCAGACCCGCATTAGGAAGAGAATAAAAGCGTGAAATTGTAGAAAAAACAACGGAGGATGTTGGGCGGGGGGTGGACTGAAGGAAGCCAGGGGGCAGGGGGAGCCACGGCACCCTTGGGGGCTTCAGGGGGGAGTAGAGGCAGCCCCCTGAATCCCTGCAAGGCCCCCCACCCCCAATAAAGTGTGCAGCATTGTTCCTTTCGAGACAGGAAAAGGAGGACTCTCAGGAGGGGGGAGGGAATTCAAAGCCATCCTGGGGGGGGGAGTCCCAGGGCTCTCCTTCTGTGGGGGGGGGCAAGGTCAAAGAAGCTGGGGGGGGCAAGTGCCCAGTGGAAAGCCCGTTGGGGGCAGAGTCTGGGAGGGACTGTGCCCTTGGAGTAGGCCAGACCCTTGTGTGGGGCTGGTGTGTGGGGAGGCCCAGCCTGCCCCCCCTACCATGAAGGGAGGACCCACTTTTTTTCCTTTGCTTTGTGCTACTTTAAGTTCTCCATTTTTTTCTGGCTTCTGCACAGACTGCTTGCTGTGGTTCCATGAAGGCACTGGGGGGTGGGGGGTTGTATCACATGGGTGTGCGTGTGTGTGGCTGTTGTGGACCTAAATCGTTTGTGGCACTGAATTGTGACCAGTGTGTGGTCAGAGTTGGGGGGGGATCCCTTCTCTTCTTTTCCAGGGCCTTCCGGGTCATCCGGGAAGCTGCCTCTGCTCAGCCCCCCAAGCTGCCTGCCCAGCTGGCTACCTGGCAGCCGCCCTTCCTTTCTGCCCTCCTGGCTGCCAAGGGCACCCCTTGGAGGGCCCCTCCTACAAGACCCCCAACCCTGCCCCAGACAGGCCTTTCCTTGAGGACTAGCTCCCCGACGACCAGATACTAAACTTGCTTCCCTGCTCGCTTTCTCCCTAGTTCCCAGCCTGGCCTGCCTGCCACTCCAGAGCTCGCCAAGGACCCCTGGGTGGTCTCTGAGGCTCAGGGCCTCCCTCCCTCCAGCCAAGCCGGAGAAGCACAGCCCGAGCCCCTCACCCCACCTGCCAGCCACCTTCAGCCACCGCTGCCTGCTGATGCCGCTGCCGCCGCTCCTGCGCACCCACCCGTGGAAGGGGACGACGGCTTTGATGCCTTTGCTGCCAGCCGCCTTCAGCCAGCCGCGCCTGGGCCCGCACCCCCTCCCACCACGGGGCCCCCGGGCCCAGCAGGGGGGGCAGCCGGTCTCCTCCCACAGCAGGAGGAAGGCCCCCCCAGCCCCGACAGGGTCTCACGGGAGGCTCCGGACTGGCTGAGCTTCCCCTTTGGGGACAGAGGCCGGGCCTGGAGTGGGTCTGGGGAGGCCTTGCTAGCGAGGGGGGCCTTCGGGGAGGGAGCGAACTCTGCCCCCAAAGCAAGGGGGCCCCGAGAGGAGCGGGCCCAAGGGGAAGATGCCCGTGGCCAGTGTGTGGGGCACCTGGGCTCCTCTGCGCAGACAGGACCTGCTGCCCCAGATGTGCCCGAAGAAGCGCTCAGCTGGACACCGGAGAGCTGCCCAGACAGCCGGACCATCCCGTCCTTGGCTGACCCCTCCTCGGAGCAGCTGGACTGGGGCCCAGAGCAGCAGACGTTGCCCCGAGGCCAGCCGACTCCCGACGCTGAAAGCAGCGAGCCCTCTTGGCTGCAGTGGGTCCCCGAGAGGGGAGAGGACGTGGGGGCCGAGGAGGCCGCCCCGATCAGCCGAGGGCCTGCCCAGGAGGAGCAAAGGGGGCCAGCACAGACTGAGGTGCCGAGGGGGGCAGGGACCCCTCCTCCAAAGCCAGCAAGGAGGGTCACCCCTCTCCAGCTCGCCGAGGAAGCCAGTGGGGCTGGTTGGGGCACGCCGGAGAGTCCACAGCTGGGAAAGGCAGACCTGGAGCCCCACCAGCACCTCCCTCCGGTGGGGGCAGCTGGTTCCCCTCCAGCGGCTGCCGTCTCCCTGGTGCCAGCAGTGATCATTGGAGCCGGCGTCTCGGGGGCCCCCGAGGACCTCCCGCTGGCCCTTGCAGAGGGCAAGGCTCAGAGAGATGATGAGCGGGGGGCCCAGGAGGCATCTTCAGGGGACACCATCTTGGCCGTGAACGAGGGGCCCAGCAAGGAGGCCCTGCCATTCTCCACCTGCTCCTCCCAGCTCTCCTTGGGCGGTTTAGGCCTCTCGGGGGTCCCTGAAAGTCCCAGGCAGGATGGGGAGACCGGCTTTGCCCCCTGGGGGCTGGAGGGTGCCTGGCCGACGGAGTTGCCCGGCTCGGCCTCATTGTGGGGCTCAGAGAGATTCTCCCGGTCCCCCGAGCCCTCCCAGGATCCCCCCGAGCCCCCCCAGGGCCCCCCTGAGTCACGGGTTGAGCCCAGCCCATCTCTGCCGTTCTGGTCCGCTTTGGAAGAGCAGCGGGGGCTGCTTGGAGGGGGCTCCAGCTTCGAAACCCTGTCCGGCCCGGGGCAGAGCGATGTGGCCCCTGGGCTGGCCCCCTTGCACCCGGAGCACGAGCCGGACCGCCCCTCGGGAGGGCCCCACGACCAAGCCCTGGACTTCCGGAAGGCTTCTTTCTGGCAGGGGGGCCGGGGGCAGCCAGAGAGCGAGCCCGAGGACCCCGCGCTGACCCCAGGCAACCCCTTTGCCCCCTGGGCCGCCCCCTCGCCACAGAAGAACCCCTTCATGGAGGTGCCTGCTGCAGAGGCCCCCTGGGCTCAGGCTGCCATCCTTCCGCTCTCCCCCACAGTCGACACCCAGGGCCCCGGGGGGGTTCTTGCAGTGGCCGGCCCTCCCAGGCAGCTCCGTTCTCACAGCTTCTCTGTGGAGCTCCCGGTGGCCCCCAGCTGGCCCGGCCGCCGGCCCTTGGCCTTCTCCACCCCTTACTTCCAGCCCCTCCCAAGCCCCACGGACTGCCAACTCCCTTCTGCCCTGAGGCCCCCGGCCACCGGTGGAGGGGCTGCAGCGGATGGCCAGAGCGGGGCCCCCCCATTCCCCTTGCTCTCGCCCCCCAGCACGGACGCCTCGGCCCCTTCAGTCCTGCCCATGGAGATGCTGCCGGCTCAAGACGCCCCACGCCAGCAAATGGCCAGGTGAGGGTGGGCCCTGTGCCCAGGTGTGTGTGTGTGTGTGTCCGTGCCTGTGTGCGCTACTTTGCAAGTGTGTGTCTCCCATCTCTCTGCCTGGGGCCCCTCTGCTGATTCCTTTGGCTGAGCCAGGCTGTTCTCTGTGCTGGGGTCTTTGGGCGGGGGCCCGTATTTCTGGCCTCCCCTCCCCATTTCTACCTTGACCTGGCTTCCTGGTTCCCAGCTGAACAGAGCCCTCTTCCTCCCTAGCGGGTGGGGGGCTCCCGTGTGCCAAGGCCAGCCCCCCTGATGATAGTAAGGGCCACCACTTCTTGGTCAGGGGAGAGGTGGAAAACCTTGGGGTCCCTGACTCCCCAAAGGCTTCTCAACTGAAATAACCAGCATTGCTTGGCAGGGATGGTGCCCGAGGCCAGGCTGGCGGTGGGCCTGGATTGCCAGCCGGGGAGGCCCCTGCAGCGTTTGGCTCTGAGGCCGGAGCCCTCCCCAAACGGGGCCTTCCCATAGTAACAGGAGGCCCTGCGGTGCTCCGGATTCTCGGCCCAAAAGGTCAGCTGCTCTGCAGGCTGGGGATCCTGGGGATTGTAGTCCCCGTGCCTCCAGAGGATGACCTGGGTGCAGCTGTGTTGTTCCAGTGGCTGAAGGGCTTCTGAGTGGGTGCAGAGTGTTCCCCCTCCCCACAGCCCAGCCTCTGCGGCTGCAAGGGCTGCCCAACCAGGGGAAGGGAGGGGAGTTCGGATTTGGCCTTTTCACGTCCACCCCTGGTTGTGAGAGCAAGTGCTGCGATTCTTAACGGAATAACGGAGTTGGGAGGGACCTGGGAGGTCTTCTAGTCCAACCCCCTGCTCAAGCAGGAGACCCTCGACCATTTCAGACAGGCAGCTGTCCAATCTCTTCTTAAACGCCTCCAGTGATGGAGCGCCCACGATTTCTGGTGGCAAGCTGTTCCACTGGTTAATTGTCCTCACTGTTAGGAAGTTTCTCCTTAATTCCAGGTTGCTTCTCTCCTTGATTTGTCTTGCACAGTTGCGCAGAGGATCCAAGGATGGAGGGGGCCTCTGGTTGGGCCTGGAGAGCCAGGACAGGGCTGCCCCTACAGAGACGGGCGGCAGCTCCCTTGGGGTGCTGGGTGGTGGGTGCTCCTGGGGCCCCCCGCTCTCCTACCTCTTCCCCACACGGCCTGTAAGGGGAGGGGTAGGAATTCAGCCACCGCCTCCTGGTTGTGGCGGTTAGCCTTACTGCACGTGTCTTGCCCGAGTCAGTCTCACTAATGCTGGATGTCCCGTGTGTTTATTTAATCTGTTTATACTGCTTGACAAGCGACTCTGGGTGGCTGAGAGAGGGTAAAACATCCAGTACAAGGGGAAAAATAAAGATAATGAGACGAGGGGAAGCCCGCTGGTCAGGGCCCGGCGTCCAGCTCTTCTTCCTCAAGGGCAGCCGGTGGGGGAGCAGAAAAGCTGCTGAAGTCAAAGGTGAGAAAGGAGAAGGACGGTGGTAGGAAAGGGTCAGGGGGTGAGGGAGGGAAGGGCCAGTTCACTTGGGTTGCTCCAGGCAGGCCTTTCCTGCTCTCAGGTGGGGAATAGGGTGCCCCCCTGTCCCTCCCCCCAAGTACTTCAGGTGCTGCCAGGGCTGCTGACCTCTGACCCCTGCTCTTCCTGGGGGCCGCATTCAGCCCACTGACCCTTGCAGCCCTTGGGGAGCAAAAGGCCGATCCCTCAACTTCCTCAATCAGAGCCATCCCTCCTCCCACAGTTAATAGAAACAGGAAGAAGAATAGCAGTCACAAAGTTTAAAAAACCCACAAAGTTTAAAACAGAAATGAATCAGAAAATAGATATGTTGAAATAAATGTAAAATAAAAAGCTCAGTTTTATAAGAGGCTAGTTTTCTGTATAAAAAAATGAACAGATTTCTTTTATCCAGGATTTTAAACCAAGTGTGATAGAATGTTTTCATGAGCATAAAAACTATTTTTAGCTGCAGCCCTAGCATGCTAAACCCCCGAATTCTTCATGTTTAATAGATTCCAGATGTTGAGAATATCATTCTTTTTCACCTTTAATTCTTGAGTTATCAAACTGAAATCACACTGCTGCAAACTAAAACCTCATTCATTCATTCATTCAAGTCACTGTCACTCCTAAAATATTAACACTTCCAGCGTGTAAAGATTTCATACTGTCCTTCCTGCATATCTGCTGGAGGGTTCTATTCAAATGAGAAATAAAAAACATTTTAGTGGCGTTAATTGCACCTTAAGACCGGAAGATACTAATTCAACATTTTTAAATCTCTTTGCTTTATGAACAGGATAGTCCAACTCTGTTATTGCAGACTGGCCACGTACAGCTGAATGCACTGTTTTAAGTTTTGCTTACAAATTAACTGAAGCTCCGAAATTCTTTTCCAGCTGCATCAATATTTTAAGCGTTCCCAATGTTGAATTCAGCCCAAGCTGTAAAGTCAAAAGATGTTTCAAATTAATATCTATGTCCTAACTATAATTTGTGAACAGTTTTCAAAACATTCTTGGATTTGTGCCCTAACAAACAGGTTAATCTTTTAAGATGACCCGATAATGTTTTGAGATTTGGTGCAACAAATTTAGCACAGCTGTCTGGAGGGAGGAAACATGGCTTCTAGGGAATTGGCAAAGCGGTTGGCGCGGCTGCCAGCAGGTGGCGCTGGTGCTGCACAAAAATCTCTTAGCCAGCAGTAAGTTGGGATGGGGGGGGACCCCTCATCTGTGGGCTACCAAGAGAGAGTTGTAGGGATGATTACACAGCTCTGGAACTCTCTCCCCCCTTAAAAGGGGGCTCTGGGGTGCCAATGCAGCTGCCCACCTGGGTGCTCCCCAGGGCCTGGTTGAGGCTGGGCTGAGGTGGGCCAGGAGGGTCTTCCGGGCTCTGGCTCAGATCAATACAGGAGCCATCTTGGCTGCCCTCCTGCGAGGCTCTTGGGGGGTGGTCCTTGAGTGGTCAGAGATGAAGGAGGGAGGTTGGGGAGGAAGGGAGGTCCCCAGCCCTCCCCTTTTGCTTGCTTGATCCGAAGGAGGGGAGGGGACTGCACCTTCCAAGGAGTGGGGGGGGGGCAGGCCAGAGGCAGCACAGCCCAGAGCAGGAAGGGAGATGGAGGAAGACGCAAGATAGGTGCTTCCTGCAGCCTTCCAGGATATATTCCCATGGTGGGGAACCTATGGCACGGGTGCCAGAGGCGGCACTCAGAGCCCTCTCTGTGGGCGCGCGCACCGTCGCCCCGGTCCTAGGCCTTCAGCTGGGTTTTATAAAACCTGTTCGCTTTAGGCCTCTGCCGCTGTGTGGAAAAAAAAAAAAGGTTCTACAATCAATCAATTTCAACTTCTCGCAGGAAAAAAAGATCTTGCAAAGTTGGAATTGATTGATTGAATTTTTTAGTCCCACCCAGTCTGCGGTTACCACCGCAGCCATGCCCACGCAATTGGCCACACCCACCCAAGGGGTCATGCCCACCCAGCACCCAACGATACATAAGTGGGTTTTGGGTTGCAGTTTCGGCACTTGGTCTCTAAAAGGTTCGCCATCACTGATCTAGTGGTTTTATATTAGAGCTGTGGTGGCGCAGTGGTGAGAATGCAGCATTGCAGGCTGACTCTGCCGATTGCCAGCAGCTCGATCTTGACTGGCTCAAGGTCGACTCAGCCTTCCTTCCGAGGTGGGTAACATGAGGACCCAAATTGTTGGGGGGCAAACCACTTAGGGCTGTGAAGCGGTATATAAGTTTAAGTGTTATTGCTATGGCTGTTGCTATATGGATTCCTTGATGGCCTCTGAGCTCAGTTGTCTGCTTGCAGACACTTCATTATCCAAGCATGTAGCATCATCAATGTGGGCAAGTGTTTATATACAATATTTGCCCTGCCAATGTTGGTGAGGGTGTGGTTTTTGTCTTCTTGGTAGTTTTTTTTTATTAGGGTATTGTTTTCTGTTTGGTTGTTTGTCTTGTGTTAATCCCTGCTTTTCTGGGTGTCGGCTGCTGGAGAGGATGTGTTCTCGTCTTTTGCTTCGCTCCTTAGCTTTCTCTCATTGTTTCTTTTGAATGGGGTGTAAATATGGTTTATTTCTGTACATCTGTTGTGGACTGTTGTGTCTGAATGCCAAACTTCCAGGAATTCCCTAACTCTCCGAGTTGATGGTGACCTAACCCTAACCCTAAGTGGGATTTTCCTCCAATGGGATTTTCCCATGTATTTTACCAGGAAACATAGACAGGGCAGGCTGGAAAAATCAGTGCCCTCCTAACCATACCCAAGCCCTCCGAGTTTGTTGGCGATGTCCATTTTCCTCTCTGAGTTCATGGTGACCTAACCCTAACACTATTATATTCATTATTGTGAGAGTATTACAGGTTTAGTCCGGCAAGATTCCGTCCACATAGTGTTAGCAAGTAAAGAAGTGACTTTTGCCTGGGTTGTCGTTCTTGGGCCTGACACTGGGAGCTTTCTACAGCTTCCTGGTCCTCATGGAGGCTTCTCCTTAGCTTTGACCAGGGATGGTGTTCCTTTCTCAGCCCTCCGTCCGAAAGGAGAGCATAATGGTGCCTCTGCTTTGTTGCAGTCCACACCCAGTCAAGCCCATGAGAAGCACGCCTGCTCCAGAGTCCCCACGCAAGGAGGAGCCCTGCCAGGCTTGCAGTCCGAGCCCCGTCCAGACGACTGGCCAGCAGCGGCTCAAGCCCGAGTCTGCCATCGGTGGGAGCTCCGCGGCCTCGGTGGTGCAGCTGGAGAAGGCGGAGCCCAAACAGGTGAGGTGGTGGCTGAGCCGCTGAGCACAGATGTGCTCCTGGGGAATCCACACCTGAATGCCGAGAGCACGTCACCTTGGCTGGACCTTTGGCGCCTGGGTTGTGCCTTCCTCCCACCCGTTGTGCCCGGCCAGGAGGAGGCCACCCTGCGCCATTTCTGGGTTACTTGGCCAGGCGCAACTGCTCATGGTTCAAACTCTGGGCATCTGATCCCCCCCCCCACACATGCCCTGTTGCCAGGAGGCCTGGGCTAATTTCCTGCTGCAGATTTTCAGTGGCCCCCCCAGAACTGCTTGGCTCCCTTGGCACCTGTCCCGAGGCCTGCAGGCTTCCCGGGCAGCCCCTCCCCAGAGGCCCCTCTGCCCAGTCTGCAGGCTCTGGCAAAGGCCTGCGGTTTTGGGCCTCTGGTACGGTGGGACTGCTGGGCAGGGAGAGGATGGAGTCAGGAGGGTCCATGGAGGGCTGCCCTTGAGTGGCAGCCGGGAGGAGGAGGGTCCCTCTCCCTGCCCAGCAGCCTTCTGGGGTGGGGATTCTGGGGAAAGAATAGGAGTCCTGGGGGGGGAGGGGGGCCCTTGCCAGGCACAGGCGACCAGAGCCACATATGAACCATCAAAGTCGCTCACTTTATCCTCCTGCCGGTGTTACAAGACTCCCCCCCCCGGGCTGCTTGCCTCCCTTCCCCAGGGAAGGTCCAGGTGAGGCTCTTGGCTGGGGGCCCCCCTTGACTCCCAGCCCATCGGGCAGTTTCCCAACCAGCTCACCCTCTGTGGCCCCAGGAGGCCCTGCACCTCAGCCCCCCATCTCTCTCTCTCTCCTCCCCCCCCCCCCCCCCCCCCCCCCCCCCCCCCCCCCCCCCCCCCCCCCCCCCCCCCCCCCCCCCCCCCCCCCCCCCCCCCCCCGTGTCTCTCCAGGGGCCCCCCGCCAAGTACCACCACCTGACGCGGGAGGAGCTGCTCCAGCTTCTGCTGCGACGGGAGGCCGAGCTGGGCAAGAAGGAGCAGCAGATCCAGGAGCTGGAGAGCTACATCGACCGGCTGCTGGTGCGCATCATGGAGCAGTCGCCCACCCTGCTGCAGATCCCCCTCGGGGAGGGGGCCAAGGCCACCCAGTAGCCCCCACACACACCGGGAACGCCTCGCCCCTCCTGCCTGCCTGCCTGGGTTTGGTTCCCTTCCTTTGGCGCAGATAGCAGCCCCCCACCCGCTGCCCCAGGATGCCCAGCTTCCTCACCTCCTCCCACCCCTGACAGGGGGTCTCTGGGCTTTTCTTGGCTGGGGGGGGGCCTGTGAACTTCCTGGCCCTTTGCAGACTTTGTCACCTCAAACACCCTGCAGTCAGGCAGCTTTTGCCGCCCTCTTATGCCCCCCTCTTACCCCCCAAGCTGAAATGGGAGTCTGCATTGGGGGGGGGTGAAGGGAAGGGTACCGGTGGCTGGCCCAGAAAAAGCCGCCTGAGTGGACAGCTCCTGGGACACACGCTTTGCCTTGCTTCCATGAGGGCTAGCGACCTCCTCTTGATTTGAGAAGCGTTGAAGGCGGTGCCAGCACGCAGCACCTGGGCCCCAGCCGGATCCTCCCCTGGGGCCTGGGGGACGCTCTGCCTGCCCCAGAGAAGTACCAAGGGCTGGCTCTGCATGCCCAAACCATCCACATCTGTCCTCTTTCTGCGTCTTCCACTTGGCCTGGAGTGTCACCCTAACGGAAGAAGGGGCAGCTGCCTGAAGTGGTAATAAGAAAAACGTGCCTTTTTGACACCTCCGCCCCCCAGAATTTGGCCTGCATGTGAGGATAGGCACTCTCCCCTTATTTACTGACCCCAGAAGTCTCACCGCCAGGAGAGGCTGGTTTTAAGGCAGGCACAAATGCTTGGAAGTCGGGAGGAATGCCTTAGCTCTGGGGGCAGTTGGGGGGGGGTTGATCCCTGCTCCCCTTGGAGCAGCCTAGGCCAGGGGTAGGCAACCTTGGCTCTTTTATGACTCGTGGACTTCAACTCCCAGAATTCCTGAGCCAGCACAGCTGGCTCAGGAATTCTGGGAGTTGAAGTCCACGAGTCATAAAAGAGCCAAGGTTGCCTACCCCTGGCCTAGTGGTTTCGGGCCCTTCCTGGTAGCCCGGCTCCCTTGCCAAGAAGGCCTTGTGGGGAGGGGGCTACTGAAGGCCTGAAGCAAGGCAACCCCGATGCCCACCACCACGAGGGAAATCAAACGAAAGGAAGCCCCTTAAACACCCCCCCCGGGTCCACCCTCAGGAAATGGCTGGGGAAGGAGGCTCCCCGGATCTTTGTTCGTCCTGTTTCTGCCAAATGTTTTCACAGCTTGCCCCTTAAGCACTGGGTGCCTGGTGCTGCTGAGTCCAGCGGGGGGACAGGTGAGGGGGCACCACCGGAAGCTTTCAGAGCGCGGGCAGGGCTGGCGATCCTAGGCTGAGATTGGCGCCTGTCACCCTTGAGCCTGCAGTGAGTGACCTCTCCTGGACTGCCATCCCGAATTGCCGGCCATCTCTTGAGTGGACCCCGTCTCGGAGACCTTGGCTGGACGTGGCCTGCCTTTGCTTTGGAGAGGCTCCCAGTGTAGCCCCCCCCACACCTCTGGAAGTAGCCACATAACTCCCCCCCCCTCCCGTGGGGAACTTTTTTTTCCATTGCAGGCTCCGCCTTGTCCTGCGTGGCCTCTGGAAGGAAGCCGGGGGGGGGGGGCTCTTGTGTTAAGTGCTGTTGATGATGTTTAATAAAAGTTTTTCCTGTTTTAAGCACTTTAAAGACAAAATAAAAATGTTTGAATTGTTGCTTAGACAGTTCTCCTTTGTGTTTCCCAATAGCCCAGCGGTTCTCAACCTGTGGGTCGGGACCCCATTTGGGGGTCGATCGACCATTTCACGGGGGTCGCCAAGCAAGGCTGTCCGCCATTTTTTTCCCCTTTTCCGGCGGGTGCCTTACCTCCCTTGGGCTGGGCCAGCTGGTGGTCGGCCTGCTCCGTCTCTGCCGCTTGCCAGATATGCCTCGGCCGGCGCAGGGGGCGGAATCACGCATGCGCTGCGCTCCCGGGCAGGGAAAGTCCTCGACTTATGACCGGTTGGGTAGTCCTCGACTTACGACCGGTTTAGTCCTCGAGTTACGACCAGTTGGGGGTCGCAGCATTAAAAAGGTTGAGAACCACTGCAATAGCCACTTTCACAGGTATCCTGACTAATTTGCGTTCCCCCCCCCATTCCGGGATCCCCAGATTTCCACTGTAGGGAATGGGGAAGTGCCCAGCTGAGGGGAGGTGGGGGGGGGGAATGGCCTTTTGAGACTGCAGCATAAGGAGGGCTGGGAGCTGGCTGTGCACTCTGCCCCATCTTGAAGAGCTTCCCCTCTGGAGCCCAGGCTTGGGGGCTGCACAGAGTGGTTTGGCTTCTCTCTCCGCTTCCTGCTCTGCAGGATGTTCTTTGGAAACTGAACAAAGAGAGAAGCAACCTGGAATTAAGGAGAAACTTCCTGACAGTGAGGACAATTAACCAGTGGAACATCTTGCCACCAGAAGTTGTGGGTGCTTCCTCACTGGAGGTTTTTAAGAAGAAACTGGACAGTCACTTGTCTGAGATGGTATAGGTTCTCCTGCTCTAGCGGGGGGCTGGACTAGAAGACCTCCAAGATCCCTTCCAGCTCTATTCCTAACTGGCTGGGGGGCCCACTGCTCTCCCCACCCCCTTGTGCAGACTGCCCACCCCTGCAGAAGAGGCCGAGGGGCAGAGCTTGGAGGGCAGAGCCAGGCAGGGCTGGAGGAGCTTCTCTCGGGGGTGGGGGGCGCTGCCTGCTCCATCTGGTCCCCCTGCTTTGCTGGTGGGAATGGGATTTTCCTTCGGGGGCTCAGCCCCCTCCTCAGAGTCTGCCAGAGAAATTAGATAGAACGCATACAGGCGGTGCATGTTTACCTTGGAGATAGGAACAGGAAGGACCCTTGTATCACGCTTGGTGGGCTTGTAAAAAAGCTAAAAAAAAAGTTTGGACCATGCAAACCTTGATCCAGAACCCTGGTACAAAAGACCAACATTAAACTGAAACCAGAACTTCTAGGATTGTTGGATACGTAGTTAGAAAAGAGTCATGGAAGATGATTTCAATAGATGGCTGCCCTGGAGAGGTTATTTGGCACTGCCCACGGGGGCCAGGGGGGGCTGGTGAAATTGGGCAGATCTAGCCGAGATGGGTAAACTAATGTCTTTGATTAGAGAAGAAGCCACATTTACATTTATTGGGGATTTTGCTTAAAAATATAAAAAAGGGACTTGTGATTTAGAGTTTCGAGGCCCAGACTGGATAAATTATAGAAAGAGTAACATGACCTAACTTTAGACAGAAGTGTGATTGTATGTGATTGTATATATTAAAGGTGATATGAAGAATATCAGAAGCCACTTTACTTTTTTTTCAAAGGTTTTACTTTTCTTGCACTTTTTGCTTTTTCTTCCTTGTTTCAAAAACAATTCGTAAAAGACGCCTGCGCGCCCGGGGGCGCCTCCTTGGGGAAGGGGGCGGCGGCCGTGCGGAGAACTACGCTTCCCAAGGCACCCCTCGCGCGGAGGGGGCGGGGCCACGCCCGTCCGGCCACGGAACTGCCCTTGGGGCGCCAGAGGGAACTACGCGCCCCAGCAGGCTCCGCGGGAGCTGCGGTGCGCCTCAGCCAATCGGGGGCCGCCAGGGGCGGGGCGAGGCTGCGAGGAGCACTCCGCACGCGAAAGTGGCGCCGAGCGGGGATGGCGGAGGGCGCGGAGTACCCGGCCTTCCAGCTGGGGAAGCCGCGCTTCGAGCAGGTGGGCTGCGGGGCTGCGCGCGCCGGCACCGGGGAGGGGGCGCCGTGCTGGGCGGGCGCTTCGCCGCCCCTCGCCCGGGGGGGGGGGCTCCGCTGCCCAGCCAGAGCGACTCCCGCCGCGAGCCCGCCCCCTGCCGCGAGCCCGCCCGGTGATTGGGCGCCGCCGCTGTCGCTTGTCTCCTGGAATTCCGGCCCTTTCCTGGTCGCGAGGAGGGCTTTTGATTGGCAGTTGCTCTCCCCCAGGGGCGGGGCTTCTCTCCGGTGGCGAGTTCGAATTTCCGTGCGGGAAGGGGGCCGGGGGCGCGCCTCCCTCCGCAGTTGGGCGCTGCAGCCCCTCGCACGGGGGGGGGGAAATGGGATGGGGGGCAGGGTCCGTCTCTGGCAGGGGCCGGTGCCAGCTGTGCCAGGGGTGGGGGCAGCATCCCTGGCGGGAGGGGGCTCCGGGCTGTGCGACCCCTGGCAGGGCAGAGCTGACCCCCCCCCGATGTCCTGCCCCCCCCGGCAGGGCAGCAGCTGGCGGCGGAGGGCGCTGACCCCGAGGGAGGAGGCGGGGGGCGCCGGCTCTCCAGCGCGGGGGGGGGGCAGCGGTAGCCCCTCTCCTCTAAGCCGGCCCGGGGTCGCTCCGTGCCGGGCTCTTAATGTGGGCATCGCTGAGTGGTGCCCTCTCCGCGAGCCTGGAGAAGGGCAGAAGGACCGGGAAGCGTTCGCCCACGCCCGGGGCGCCTGGAAGCGCCGCTGCCCGAGGAAGGCAGACCGGCCCGCTTCCCTCTTTGCCCCCCAGGGACCCTCCTCTCCTCCCCCGCGGCCGGAGACCCTGGCGGACACTCGGCGGAGGGGGGAGCCTTCGGGGGGGGGGCGGCCGAGTCCTTGGGAAGAAGGGAGTTTCACCCAAAGGGAGCCCCCTCCTCCCACGAAGGGCCTGCCGGGGTCTTCCTGCCTGGCGGTGCCAGCCTTTCGGGAGCGAAGGTGCCCTGCTGGGGGGCATTCCAGGCTGCTGGGAGGGGGCAGGGGGTGTCCCTGATCTGCCACTGGGGAATTTCGGCCTTTCGGAGATGCTCTGGGCCAGGGGCATTGAAGGGCTGCCTCTTGTCCTACTTCTGGCCCAGGGCAGGCAGGCAGGCAGGCCTTTTTGCAGATTTGTTTGCCATGGATTGTATTCAAAGTTCGGTCTCCATAAACATCACTAAACCATGGACTTTGCTCATATGTGCAAAAGTGCCTTCTGGCTTCAACCTGCCCAGGTGATAAGAGAGAAAACCTTATCTGGGTGTTTCTTCCAGACCTTGAACTCTCTGAAGGGTGTGGTGGAGCCTGTGCTGCTTCCTCAAGGCAGTTTTGCTCCTTTGCTGAAGAGGGGCCGGTCCCTTTGGAGGGGCTCGCCACCCTTCGGGGGTCTTGCTCGCAGGCAGGGTTTGGCCCAGGAGTCAAGCAGGAGCCTTTCCCACGTTTTATTCCATCTTTCTGCCACCCTCTTTCACTCCAGGCTTGCCCTTGTCCAGGGGGACAGCTGTGGGGAGCCCCCAGTCTGAATGAACAGAGTTAGAGGTTGCAGGGAAATTTGGGGAGGGGAGGAGCAGGTACCCCAGACAAGCAGGGAAGCAGCCCTGTGACCTCCTGCCATGGAGCTTGTGTCTTTATGGGGGGGGGGGAGGGTTTGAGGAGGGTTGCAGATTGTAGTTTAGATTTCAAGAGAGCAGATCCCAACCAGTGAAGAGCAAACCAGGAAGGATTCTACGGATGAAGGTCATCAGGGGAAAAAAGAGTTGAGGAGAGTTGGGGAACCTGAGAAGTGAGATAATTAAAGCCCAAACCCAATCAATCCCAAAGAGAAATGAAAAGGGAGACCTGAGAAAAGGGACAAGTTTAACAAATGGAACGGAGCACATAGAGAAAGCAGAGCATCAGCAAATAACCCGAATCTGCACAGAGGGAGTCAGGACGGCAAAGGGTCAGCATGAGCGATGAACAACAAAGAAGCCTCTCTGGGTATGTGTGGAACAACTGAGGTTAATGAAGCAGGCGGTCAACCGGCTGGAGAAGAGGGTGATGGCTGGAATTGCTCAGCTGTGTATTTCCATGAGAAACACACAGGGAGAACTAGAGATCCTGACTCCAAGGGCCAAAGAGGAAGCAGGGCACCCCTGAAATTTAATTGGCAGGTGGGCTACATTTAATGCCAGGCTGAATAAGATGGGTGTGTTGCACTTTACATACAGAAAAAAAATGCATACTTGCTCAAAAATCCAGGAAGAGACCATGCAAATCCTGTTTAAGATATTTGGGTAAGAAAAGGATTCCTGCTATGGGAATTCGTTTTCCCAGGGCAGGCAGGGAAAGTGGCCTGCCACTAATGGCTGCCTCTCCACGTGGCCTGACAAGAGATAATTGAGGCTTTTGATTGCCTGGATAGGAAGCACTGAAGATTTTGATCCTCTCTTGCTCACAGCGACGTTCGTGAGGAAGGCGCCTTCTCTGAGGACCCACGGTCTGGGTCCACGGTCCACAGAGCCGGTTCCGGGACAGTCTGCCGGCGTGGCAGGCGTGGCACAGGCGTGGGGAGCCGGGCCAGCTGTCTGGCTCCGTTTGCTAACGAGAGCGGCTGCTTTGTTTTCTGCTGTGTCTCTGCCCAGAACTAATTTATTTTATGAAAAGATTTGCTTAATTAGTTTTGTTCTTTTGTAAGTGAGCCAAGCCATGTGAGAGGGAGAAGCTGGAGGTGTTCTGCACCAATTAAATTTTTTTCAGTGCTGATTAACGGAGTTTTTCTTCAGACTCTTCAGNGGGGGGCAGGGTCCGTCTCTGGCAGGGGCCGGTGCCAGCTGTGCCAGGGGTGGGGGCAGCATCCCTGGCGGGAGGGGGCTCCGGGCTGGGCGACCCCTGGCAGGGCAGAGCTGACCCCCCCCGATGTCCTGCCCCCCCCGGCAGGGCAGCAGCTGGCGGCGGAGGGCGCTGACCCCGAGGGAGGAGGCGGGGGGCGCCGGCTCTCCAGCGCGGGGGGGGGGCAGCGGTAGCCCCTCTCCTCTAAGCCGGCCCGGGTCGCTCCGTGCCGGGCTCTTAATCTGGGCATCGCTGAGTGGTGCCCTCTCCGCGAGCCTGGAGAAGGGCAGAAAGGCCGAAAAGCGCTCGCCCACGCCCGATGCGCCTGGAAGCGCCGCTGTCCGAGGAAGGCAGACCGGCCCGCTTCCCTCTTTGCCCCCCAGGGACCCTCCTCTCCTCCCCCGCGCCCGGAGACCCTGGCGGACACTCGGCGGAGGGGGGAGCCTTCGGGGGGGGGGCAGCCGAGTCCTTGGGAAGGAGGGGGGAGTTTCAGCCAAAGGGAGCCCCCTCCTCCCATGAAGGGCCTGCCGGGGTCTTCCTGCCTGGCGGTGCCAGCCTTTCGGGAGCGAAGGTGCCCTGCTGGGGGGCATTCCAGGCTGCTGGGAGGGGGCAGGGGGTGTCCCTGATCTGCCACTGGGGAATTTCGGCCTTTCGGAGATGCAGAACGAAGGGCTCCTTTTCCTTCTGGCCCTGCTCTGGGCCAGGGGCATTGAAGGGCTGCCTCTTGTCCTACTTCTGGCCCAGGGCAGGCAGGCAGGGAGGCCTTTTTGCAGATTTGTTTGCCATGGATTGTATTCAAAGTTCGGTCTCCATAAACATCACTAACCGGTGGACTTTGCTCATATGTGCAAAATTGCCTTCTGGCTTCAACCTGCCCAGGTGATAAGAGAGAAAACCTTATCTGGGTGTTTCTTCCAGACCTTGAACTCTCTGAAGGGTGTGGTGGAGCCTGTGCTGCTTCCTCAAGGCAGTTTTGCTCCTTTGCTGAAGAGGGGCCGGTCCCTTTGGAGGGGCTTGCCACCCTTTGGGGGTCTTGCTGGGCTGACTCCCCTCAGTGAGCAAACAGGGAGAACAGACAGGAGCCTTTCCCACGTTTTATCCCATCTTTCTGCCACCCTCTTTCACTCCAGGCTTGCCCTTGTCCAGGGGGACAGCTGTGGGGAGCCCCCAGTCTGAATGAACAGAGTTAGAGGTTGCAGGGAAATTTGGGGAGGGGAGGAGCAGGTACCCCAGACAAGCAGGGAAGCAGCCCTGTGACCTCCTGCCATGGAGCTTGTGTCTTTATGGGGGGGGGGGAGGGTTTGAGGAGGGTTGCAGATTGTAGTTTAGATTTCAAGAGAGCAGATCCCAACCAGTGAAGAGCAAACCAGGAAGGATTCTACGGATGAAAGTCATCAGGGGAAAAAAGAGTTGAGGAGAGTTGGGGAACCTGAGAAGTGAGATAATTAAAGCCCAAACCCAATCAATCCCAAAGAGAAATGAAAAGGGAGACCTGAGAAAAGGGACAAGTTTAACAAATGGAACGGAGCACATAGAGAAAGCAGAGCATCAGCAAATAACCCGAATCTGCACAGAGGGAGTCAGGAAGGCAAAGGGTCAGCATGAGCGATGAACAACAAAAAAGCCTCTTTGGGTATGTGTGGAACAACTGAGGTTAATGAAGCAGACGGTCAACCGGCTGGAGAAGAGGGTGATGGCTGGAATTGCTCAGCTGTGTATTTCCATGAGAAACACACAGGGAGAACTAGAGATCCTGACTCCAAGGGCCAAAGAGGAAGCAGGGCATCCCTGAAATTTAATTGGCAGGTGGGCTACATTTAATGCCAGGCTGAATAAGATGGGTGTGTGTGTTGCACTTTACATACAGAAAAAAATGCATACTTGCTCAAAAATCCAGGAAGGGACCATCCAAATCCTGTTTAAGATATTTGGGTAAGAAAAGGATTCCTGCTATGGGAATTTGTTTTCCCAGGGCAGGCAGGGAAAGTGGCCTGCCACTAATGGCTGCCTCTCCACGTGGCCTGACAAGAGAAAATTGAGGCTTTTGGTTGCCTGGACATCTGCTGGGAAACGGCTGAGAGTCGGAAGCACCGAAGATTTTGATCCTCTCTTGCTCACAGCGACGTTCGTGAGGAAGGCGCCTTCTCTGAGGACCCATGGTCTGGGTCCACGGTCCACGGAGCCGGTTCCGGGACAGTCTGCCGGCGTGGCAGGCGTGGCACAGGCGTGGGGAGCCGGGCCAGCTGTCTGGCTCGGTTTGCTAACGAGAGCGGCTGCTTTGTTTTCTGCTGTGTCTCTGCCCAGAACTAATTTATTTTATGAAAAGATTTGCTTAATTAGTTTTGTTCTTTTGTAAGTGAGCCAAGCCATGTGAGAGGGAGAAGCTGGAGGTGTTCTGCACCAATTAAATTTTTTTCAGTGCTGATTAACGGAGTTTTTCTTCAGACTCTTCAGGCTTGGGCAGGGCGTGGGAGGGAGGGAGGGAGGGAGGGGGGAGGGACTCCGCTGCGGTCGCTTCCTTGGGGGGGGCTGAGAATTGCCGCTTTGATGTGCCCGCGGGACAGGCTGGGCACCTGCCCTGGGTTTGGGGGTGCAAGGATGCTCTCCTGGAAGGGGCCTGGAGCACTTCCAGGATGGGGGATCTTGGGGTGTGCTGAGGTCCCAGGAGGTCAGGGTTGTGCAATGCACACAGGTGGGCAGGGGGTGCCAGCCTCCTTTGGCAGTCCAGGTGCTGATCCAGGTGACCCCTTCAAAGCAGCTGTTGCACCAGGGGGACGTGAAGTGTCCGGGGGGCCCTTGAGGAACGGCCGAGGGCCGTGGGTGCCTTCTAACGAGGGCCCGTTGCCTGGGGCCGCCTGGGGTGCTCCTGCCTCAGCCTCCAAGCACAAAAAGAGCATTTCTGCTGGCAGAAGCTCCAACAGAAAGTGGGGAGCCCTGTCTGGGAGGGTCTGCACGCCCCCTGAGCAGAGCAGCCTTTGCCAGACGGACACTCCGCGTGTTGTGGCCAATTCCTGGATGAGGAGGCATAGAGGGGGCAGCTGGGGATGGTATGACGGCCCTTTGGCCAGGAACCCTGGGGGCCACTGCTGGAGGGGGGGCTCCTTGGGGTCTCCATTGAAGTGCCACCTTTGCTCTGAAGAGGAGGGGAAGATTTGGGGTGCTGGGCGGAGGGCGACCCTTGCTTCCCTTCTGAAGTGCCAGCCTCAGCCTCTTTCTGGTGCTCTGCCCGGCGGTGCCTGGTCTTCTTGACTGAGGCCCTGGCTGTTTGCAAAGGTCTGGGGGTTCGGACTCAAAAGTGGAGCTTGAGGTCCCCCGACATCCTGGCTTTGAGTGATAGGAACGTCCCAGAATGGCCTCTGAGCTGAACTCAGGGTCTGGAACAAAAAGGAGCCTTAGGGAGCCGCATTCCCCATGCTGAGGGCCCAGGGGGCTGGCCCCAGACATCCTAGGAGCCCTGGGTCCCCAGTAGTATGGGGCAGGTGAGGCTGTGCCCCAAGTGGCACCTGCACTCACCGCCCCAGCAGTGAGGTGGGGTCCCCAGACCTTTTGGCGCAAAGAGTGGCCCGGGGCTTTGGCGGGCTGGGCTCGTCTGTGGGGGCCACAGTCGCCTTGCGTGCAGAAGAGGCAGGAGGGCTGCCAGAGGTCCCGGCCTCGGGGGGGGGGGTCTGCTTGGCCAGGGGAAGGAGAGCCTCTCTAGTCCTCTGATGCCGGTGCTTCTGTCTCCCCGCAGGCCTCGTTTTGTGGGAGATTGAGACACTTCCTGGACATCATTGACCCCCGCACACTCTTCGTCACCAAGGTAGAGTCTCTGCACCTCCTCGGGCGCTTCTCTCACCTGGAAGTGAGAGTATTTCACTCCTGGGTGTTTTTCTCTGCAAAAAAAATCCCCCTTTGGTGCTGGATCCGGTTTAATTCTCCAGCTGGGGGCTGCTTGCCTTCCTGGGCCTGTTGAGCTGCCTCCCGGCAGAGCTGAAGAGCAGCAAGCGGCGTTTGCTGCCTGTGGGGTGGGTGGGGGGGTTTGTCTGGACTTGTTCACTGTTCCCCTTCGCCCTTTCCTGCTTTCCAAGCCATCCGCCACCCTGTTTCCTTCCAAGGCTCCGGGGCCTGCCTGGTTCCTAGCAACCCCCCAGCCCGGCTGGGGCTGGGGTAGCTGAGCTGTCCCCCAGAATGGGTGGGGCTGGGCGGACCCTTTGCTGCTCTGGCTGGGAATGGGGGCTCCAATGCCATCCTCCACCTCCTCCCATCCCAGAATGCTCCCTTTTAATGGGGGGGGGAAACAAACACACCCCAGGGGTGAGGTTCTCCTGCCCCCCCTCCAGCCCTCTCCCTCCGCGCTACTTTGGCACTGCCTCGGTCGCAGTGGGGCAGACCTGCCCCCACTTGGACTCCCTTCGCATTAGGTGCTGCCCAGGACTCCTCATTCCTGGGGGGGGGGTCTCCCTGCAGGAAGCTGCTGCAGGCCCCAGAAAGACCCCTTGGTGGGAGGGATGTGGGAACTGGGGGGGGGGAGATTCCTTTTGCATGGCAGGAATTCTGCTGCTCACTATGCAATTAGCACTTAGGAATATTCCTATTGTTAAATGGTTTGATGTATTTTCACTGGTTTGGCATGAAATGGATTAGGAGCTAGGAATGATGAAATCTCTCGGTGTTTGTGTGTGAGGCCTCCAAAATAATTAGCTTCATCAACATTTTGTGGAAGGATTAAATGTCTATAAAGACGTTAACCTACTAATAGATGTATAAGTATATTTGGACCTGATTACTCTCCTACTTTAAGGAGGGCGAGCAGTTAATTACCCGCCCAGAGCACCCTTAATTTCTGTCCTCCGTTATCAGTTCCTTCTCTGCACTTATTTATCTCCATTAATTTCTTACACCTCACAGTCCCTGATGAAAAGTGTGACATACATGGGGACCAGTCAGAGATCCCATTTTTTTCTCCCCAATGTTTTTTTAAAATGTGTGCCTGTGTGTTTGTGTGCAAGGGGGACGGAAAAAGAGAATTAAGGACACGGAATGGGAGGGCAGAGAAGGTGAGTCCCTGGAGAGGGTTGTTGTGTATGTTTTATTCTCTCTCTCTCTCTCTCTCACTGTGTGTGTGTGTGTGTGTGTGTGCATACAAGAGGAAGAGAGCCCTGCTGGAGTCAGATACAACAACTCTCCAGATTTCAGGCAGATTTCTGTCACCATGGAGGATAAAACAGGGATTAAGCCCCAACAGGACTCACCCTTGCCCACAGCCCTGGTGCCCCTCATCTCTCCAGCCCCCCAGTTGCCCCAAACATCCTGGTAAACACCTCCATGTGGCTGCCACTCTTTGGAACCTCATACTGACCAAGGCAGGGGAATTCAGCCTGAAAAGTGCCAGGGTTTGATATATCCTTTGAGTAATTGCCAACAAAAACTAATTATCACTACCCAGGACTGAAACATCACAGCCAACCAGGCCACGTTGTGTTATGCACACGAGGAAAGACCTAGAAAGACACTTATAACTGCAGAGTTTGAGAGCTGCCACTTGCTCTATATCAGGGGTCTTCAAACTTGGCCCTTTGATGACTTGTGGACTTCAACTCCCAGAATTCCTCAGCCAGGCACACGTGCCTGGCTGAGGAATTCTGGGAGTTGAAGTCCACAAGTCATCAAAGAGCCAAGTTTGAAGACCCCTGCTTGTGAACTTCAACTCCCAGAATTCCTCAGCCAGGCACGCTGGCTGAGGAATTCTGGGAGTTGAAGTCCACAAGTCATCAAAGGGTCATAGTTCCCTCACGCTGGCTGAGGAATTCTGGGAGTTGAAGTCCACAAGTCATCAAAGAGCCAAGTTTGAAGACCCCTGATATAGACTAGCGTTGTTCAACCTCGGCAATGTTAAGATGTGTGGACTTCAACTCCCAGGATTCCCCAGAGTTGACAATCCACCCATTTTAAAGTGGCCAAAGTTGAAAACCGCTGCTCCAGAGTAGAAAAGACACAGCCCTCCCCAGCTGTTTGCTGTCTGCTTTGGAAATAGAGATTCTGGTTTGTTGATTTGTTTACAATCCAAGAGCAGTCATAAAATTCCATCAGATACAACGATGGTGTGTGAACACGTAGACCAGGGGTGGGGAACCTTGGCCCTTTTGTGACTTGTGGACTTCCACTCCCAGAATTCCTGAGCCAGCCATAAAAGGGCCAAGGTCCCCCCCCCCCCCCGATCTAGACAGAGAGTTAAAAAAAACAAGCCTCATAGTGGCAGGGATGGATGAAACGACTGCAAGTCTTAAACCTGATAAGAATTTGGCAACTTTCTTGGAGGCATCTAGAAATTGGTCACTGCAAAAGAGAACAGTAACACTTTGAGTGCAAGAAAAGATTAAACTTTTGACAATTGGGCACTTGAACAACACACGTGATCCAGAGTTACTCTCCATATCAAAGTCTACACAAGTTGGAATTGTGCAAGGAAAAACAATCTGTCCTTCGATATCCTAACGGGAGCCCGTAATTTTAGCCAGGGAAAACAACCCCCTTGTCAAACATGTCAAACATTAAAAAAAAATTAGGGATAGTCCCAATAATGTGCAGTGCAATAGACATGGGGAAATTCTGTCTATCCATTTAGATATCCCAAATACTCTTCTTAGATTTGCACAGTTTTCATTAAGGCTGAGGGTGGATATTGCCAGGACAGAAAAGCCAAATCAGGATTAATTTCTCCCTGGGGGAGAAACACCCCCTTCTAACAAGATCCAGTGCACCAAGGAAGTCCCTCAAGGGATCTGCTTTGGCCAGAGGCCAGAGCCTCTGATGAGTCCCCGGGGGAGGAAGCCGGCTGTTGAATTTTACCCTTTGAACGTCCCCAGAGTTGCTTCAGGGACTCACTTTATGGCTTTCCTGAACTGTAATTGGATGACTTGGAAGCCTGTGGCGTCCTTGTAGAGGCTGCAGGACTGAGCACCAGGCAGCCTCAGACCAGAGTTATGCACATGAGGAAAGACCTAGGTCAGGGGTAGGCAACCTTGGCTCTTTTATGACTCGTGGACTTCAACTCCCAGAATTCCTGAGCCAGCATGGCTGGCTCAGGAATTCTGGGAGTTGAAGTCCACGAGTCATAAAAGAGCCAAGGTTGCCTACCCCTGACCTAGAAAGACACTCATAACTGCGGAGTTTGGGAGCTGCCACTTGCTCTAGACCAGGGGTATTCAAACATGGCCCTTTTATGACTTGTGGACTTCAACTCCCAGCATGCCTGGCTGAGGAATTCTGGGAGTTGAAGTCCACAAGTCATAAAAGGGTCAAGTTTGAAGACCCCTGGTCCAGCAAGTAGAAAGTTGAACACGGGCCCTTAAGCACCTAATTGATTAAATCAATACATCTCCCACCGTTCTTAGAACTGGCTGGACCTCTGGGACACTTTCTTGAGAATACTGAAATCTCCGTTTTAGGGCCATTAATTTCAAGGTACCCACCCCATAGGGCAACACTTCCCAAACCTGGATAACTTACCCAACATTGTGCAAAAGTGTTTTTGTTTACTTGGGTAACGACACACGATTCCATTACCCAATTCTAACAGGGACATTTAAATGGACTTTAAATTTAAATTGAAGAAGGGGTTGCGACCTAGTCTCCAAAGCACCTGAAGGCAGAACAGGGTGAAAACTAATGGAGGAGAAAACCAGCCTAGAACTAGGGAGAGATTTCCTGACAGTGAGAACAATTAATCAGAGGAACGGCTTGCCACCAGAAGTTGTGGGTGCTCCATCACTGGGGATTTTCAAGAAGAGACCGGGCAGCTATTTACCCAGGGTCTCCTGCTTGAGCAAGGGGTTGGACAAGAAGATCTCCAAGGTCCCTTCCAACTGTGTTATTTAAATTTAAATTGAAGAAGGGGGTCAACCAATTCTCCAATGCACCTGAAGGCAGAAGCGGTGAATGCTCCAACACTGGAAGTTTTAAAGAAGAAACTGGACAGCCATTTGTCCGAAATGGAATAGGGTTTCCTCCCTGAGCAGAGGGTTGGACTAGATGACCTCCAAGGTACCTTCCAACTTTACCATTATTATTATTATTATTATTATTATTATTATTATTATTATTATTATTATTACTACTACTACTACTACTACTACTACTACTACTACTACTACTACTACTACTATAACAGGCAGTGCTGACTGGGGAAATTCTGTGAGTTGAAGTCCACACAACTTAAAATCCGCAAGGTTGAAAAACACAGCTCTAAAGAGTTCAGAAGGCTCATCCCCTCCGGTTGCACCCAATCCAATAATTTATAACATAGAAATCTAGCACGGCAATTTACTAATTATAGATAAAAGACAAATTGGCAGATAGTTGGCAGGATCACACTTGTCATCCTGTTTAGTATAGTGGAAAGGTAACAGAATTACGCCAGCCTGTTGGGAGACAGAAATAATTGGTTATAGCAGTAAAAACAAAGGGAATAAAGGAGGCACCCACCGAACAGGGTTTGTTTTTAGAATTTCTGCAAAGAGCAAACCTTTAGCTGTAGTTTTACGAGTTCTTTCCTGTTTCTCCATTGAAGTATTAATTTTTGAATCTCCGAGGGTGAGAGCAGAAAAAGGGGTGCACTGTGAACAGTCGTCCCCCCCTCCCCAGCACAAAAAACATCTTGCTTTGAAGTGTTGGGAAAGAGCGACTATGTGTCATCCTCAACTTACAACCACAATTCAGCCCGAACGTTTTGTTGCTAAATGAGACACTTGTTACGTGAGTTTTGCCTCATTTTACGACCTTTCTTGCCACAATTGTTATGGGAATCACTGCAGTTGTTCAGTCACCCGGTTGTTAAGAGAATCCGGCTTCCCCATTGACTTTCCTTGTCAGGAGGTCGCAAAAGGGGAATCAAGGGACCCCGGGACACTGTGACCGTCATAAGTATGAGTCAGTTGCCAAGAGTTTGAATTTTGCATCACGTGACCACGAGGAGACTGCAACGGTCGTAAGGGTGAAAAACGGTCCTAAGTCACTTTTTTCAGTGCCGTTGTAACTTCAGACGGTCACTAAATGGACTGTTGTAAATCAAGGCCTACCTGTGTTATGTTTGCTGCACTGGGGTATTGATAAAAATAATAAAAGGCAGGATAAAAAAGTCTTTTTCAAGAAGGGAAGAGCAATTGCACTGCCTGAGCGGATTGTGCCTCTGCCCTCTTCCCAAGCAAAGGGGGGGAGGGTCCTGACCTTCAGTCCATCAGTCAATCAGAATAGAGCTGGAAGGGGCCTTGGAGGCCTTCTAGTCCAACCCCCTGCTCAAGCAGGAAACCCGCCTATCCAGGGGTAGGCAACCTTGGCTCTTTTATGACTGGTGGACTTCAACTCCCAGAATTCCTGAGCCAGCCTGGCTCAGCTTAGAAACCTCTCCCTTCCCCTCAGCATGGCTGGCTCAGGAATTCTGGGAGTTGAAGTCCACCAGTCATAAAAGAGCCAAGGTTGCCTACCCCGGCCTATACCTTCCTTGTGCAGACAGGAAGACCCCGGGTTTTGCAAGGGACCCCTCTTGATCGGAAGCCGCGCTTGTGCACTGGATGCACGTCACTCTCCCCCCCACGTTCCCCCCTTGTGGGAACCCGCCTTCAGGCACCGATGACTAAGTGACGAGCGTCCACGGAGCCCAAACACGGACCTTCTCCTACCTAGTCCTTCTAGAGTGATTAATCCGTGAAGGAGAAAATGCCAGGGATTTTTTCCCCTGAATTAACATTTTCCATTTGGGGGGAGGGAGTGTGGAAGTGCCACTAAAGCCGGCTCTGGTGCTGGTGGCTCTCCTGGCAAAGGCTCTGGTGGCCTTGGGGCCGTGGGAGGCTGCTGGACAGATGTGTGAGGGAAGAGCGGCCTCTCCTTCCAGCTGGACTGTTTGGTTCCTGGCCTGGGCTCCTCTTTTGTGCAAAGCTTGGAAAGCCTCCCTTCCTCAGCATCCAGACCGTAGTAGACCCTTAGCCCTCTTACAACTTACAGCATTTTAACAATTTCTTTCATTGTGGACATTAAATCTGAATCCTGCCAAAAGAATGGCATGTAGTTGTTGCTAAACATCAGCCACAAAAAGTCAGGATAAACAAACTTATATCCTGGATAAGCTGGTGAGCCCCTTGCCTCTTGGGCTCTGGCCCCGATCCCCAGAGATCAGCCATTTGCCGAGTAAGGCTCCATGTGCCAAACTCTTTCAAGACCCCCTTATGGAGCTGAGCTGTGTGTGTGTGTGTGTGTGTGTGTCTGTGTCTGTGTGCCGAGAGGATCTGCCTTCTTCCTGGCAGGTGTGAGACTTCGTTGCTTAAAATTAGGCTCTTAATTGCTTGTAATGAAACTGTGTGGGACTATCTGAAGAGTTCAGCAGATTTTTTGTGAAGCTAATTTAGTCCATGCGACATTTCCTGCTAACGCACAGCAGGGGATTGGGGGGTTGGGGGGGATTGGCGGGCAGGGGGAGGGAGAAGGGGGGGCATCCTGCCCTTCTCCCCCTGCTCCCCCCAGAAGGAAGGGGCCAAAGGGGCTGTACTGAAAGGCCTCTTTCCTCTCTGATGGCCAAGCTGGTTCCAGCCTGCGGGGGCTTCTATTTTTGGGGGGTGCGCAGGTGGTCCTTGACTTACAACTGTAATGGAGCCTGGCCATGACGGTCAATAAGTCGTGGTGGTTGTAAAGTGGGTCACCATAAGACTGACCCGATTCACGACCTTTTCATGGCAGCCGCAAACACTTCTTCGCGAGGGGCTACTTGTGCCAGGACCCAGGTGCAAATGCTGTTTGGGGCAAAAGCATCCCTGGGACTATGAGACACGGCGAGCAGCTGCAAATGCCGGCCGGTTCCCGAGCCCCCAAAATGCGATCCCAGGATGGTGGCGATGGGGGCAGCAGTCAGATGCCAAGTACCTGGGGGGGGGGTTCTGTTGCAACATCAGGCGATCACTAAGTGACTGGTGGTAAGCAGAGAGCTGCCTGCGAAAGGTGGCGGAGATTGGGCGGCAGTGGGGGGTGCCCGCCACCCCGGGAGCAGCCGGCCGCGAAGGAAGTGGGCCGAGGCAGTGGCGTGAAGGGTTAGGGCAGTGGTTCTCAACCTTTTTAATGCCGCGACCCCAACCGGTCGTAAGTCGAGGACTAAACCGGTCGTAAGTCGAGGACTACCCAACCGGTCGTAAGTCGAGGACTTTCCCTGCCCGGGAGCGCCGCACATGCATGGTTCCGCCCCCTGCGCCAGCCGAGGCGTAGCTGGCAAGCGGCAGAGACGGAGCAGGCCGACCACCAGCTGGCCCAGCTCAAGGGAGGTAAGGCACCCGCCAGAAAAGGGGAAAAAAATGGCGGACAAAAAAAATGGCGGAAAGCCTTGCTTGGCGACCCCCATGAAATGGTCGATTGACCCCAAATGGGGTCCCGACCCACAGGTTGAGAACCACTGGGTTAGGGCAAGATGGGGGGTATTCCAGGCCCACCTTTCTCGGAGCTTTACACCCCTGCCTCTTCTCTCAGGGCAAGCTGCTTCTCTCTCAGCCCCCCAAAAAGAGGGCGCTGAGGCGCCCAGATCCTTTTAGGCCAGTCAGGGGCCATTTTGTGCTGCTCGGGGCCTTCGTGCTGTGTGGCCAGCTGGGCCCTGCCAAGGTTGTTATAGTAACTGGGAGAGAACGGAAGACAAGAAGGCCCATTGATGCCTTTTCTGGGCCTCCATTCAGAAGAGCGGAGGGAACCGCAGAGAGCGGCTGCAAAGGAGGCCCGGAGTTGGGGTGCCCCAAAACCTGCTAATGAGGGGAGAGAGTCTCCCCAGAATGCCAAGCAGAGCTCTTGGCTGTCTTTTCACAGGAAAGTGGGTCATTTCCTTGGCTGCCTGGCTACCATTCACCGTCCTGGCTCTGGAGGCTCAGGCCAGCAGGCGGGGGGGGCATTGGCTCTCCTTCTCTGGGCCTCAGATGCCCCCCTCTCCTTCCGCCTCCAGGGCTGTTCTGGGGCTGCCCCATTGAGAGCAGCAGCACCGGGGGATGTGAGCTGCAGTTTGGGTGGCTGACCCTTTGGTGGAAAGTCCAGCTTATGAGACGGAAGAGGGCAGCCCCTGGTCATTTGTCCAGGGCCATTGGGTGCTGCCCTTCTCTGGATCTGCCAGATTTCTCCACTCTTCCCATAGCATCTCCCTCTCTTGCCCCCCCCCCAGCTGGCCGAGGGCATGGTCCAAAGGTGGGAGGCCAAGCGGCGTCTTCCGATGGGAAGCCAGGCAGTGTGGGCACCGGCCTGGCCCTCTCGGGATGCCTTTTGTGTGTGTGTGTGTATGTGTGATGCTTGTTGTCTCTTTGCAGAGTCGCCTCAAGGAAGCCATGCAGCTGCTGGAGGATTACAAGCAGGGCTCGCTGCCCCCGGGGACCAGCAACAAAGAGGTGACCAGAGGGGACGGACCTCGGCTGTCTCCTGAAGGAGAGACGTGGGCCTGGTTTGGGGACAGCCAGAAGCTAGCCCAGGGGTAGGCAACCTTGGCTCTTTTATGACTCGTGGACTTCAAGTCCCAGAATTCCTGAGCCAGTATAGGGAACTATGATCCCTTTATGACTCGTGGACTTCAACTCCCAGAATTCCTGAGCCAGCATGGCTCAGCTTAAAAACCTCTCCCTTTCCCCTCAGCATAGCTGGCTGAGGAATTCTGGGAGTTGAAGTCCACAAGTCATAAAGGGATCATAGTTCCCTATACTGGCTCAGGAATTCTGGGAGTTGAAGTCCACAGGTCATAAAAGGTCATAAAAGAGCCAAGGTTGCCTACCCCTGGCCTAGGCCTAGGCCTCTTTATGACTGGTGGACTTCAACTCCCAGAATTCCTGAGCCAGCCTGGCTCAGCTTGGAAATCTCTCCCTTTCCCCTCAGCATGGCTGGCTCAGGAATTCTGGGAGTTGAAGTCCAGGAGTCATAAAAGGGCCAAGGTGGCCTACCCCTGGGCTAGGTAGTCAGAGGCCGATGTGGAGGCCAGGTGTGTGCTAGCTGCGCCCTCCTGCCCTGCAACAGGGCCACCAAGGCCCTCGAGCATCTCTGCTCAAGAGTGGCCGGGTGGGGAGTTTGTGGGGGGCGGTCCCTTTGAGGGAGGGGCCCTCCCTTTCCAGATCCCAAAAGATCCCCCAAAAGGGCAGAGATGTGCCCGGTGGAACTGCCGGGTGTTTTTCAAGTGTTTTCCTTTGATCCTCATTGATCCTGGCTGAAGCGTTTGATGGTTTGGATTCCGTAACTGGCATTCATGAATGGGTGGCATCCAGCTGCATTTGATGCTTTGGCCACGCTTGACAGCTGGCGAGGGTCCATACAGGGAGTCCCTGGCACACAATCACGATGCAGCCGGCCCGTTTCGGTCATATGTCGTGATTGTCATCAGTGAGGTTGGCCATGTAACGTGATTTGAGAACCTTTTTTTGTGATGGCCATTAAGTGAACCTGGTGGTCATAAAATGAACACCATGGTCGTTAAGCAAACCCATTGCTTGCTATGTTGTGGTTTTCCGGAAATGTCATTAAACACAGCCGCACTGCAAACACCCATAAGTGCAGCTGTGTGGCCAGGCCCCCCCATGGCCTGGGGGGGGGCAACCCTTCGAATTTCAGAACAGGGTCGTCATTCCCTTTTTCCAGGCAGGACGCAACTTCGAGTGTTTGCTAAGTGGCCGGTTGAAAGCTGAGGACTAGCCACCTTTCACAGATGCCCATGTGGGAAGTCAGCCCCCCCCCCAGAGAAGGAAATATTAAAAGGGCAGAATATTATATTTCCTCAAAGGATCTTAAAGAGGGAGAAAAGCATGCCCACTTTTTCTTAATAGCCCCAAGTCTCCCTCCCCCAAGCAGAAACCAGCTCTGTAGAAATGCAGATGTAATAATCCATTCAGGAAGGTTGAAGCCCTCCAGCTAGAAATTGAAGAGATTAGGAAGACAAAGAGACCTAAAATCTACATACCTCACCCAAACTCTAGGACAGGACATAATAGGATTAACCCACAGATGCCAAAGGGGCACACTCAGACTCAGGTCCAAATACATGACACAGGAAATACAAAGACTTTTACAGGAACAGGAAACAACTCCAAACAAAAGCCCAAGAGGGTATAAAAACCCACTCCCTACTACATGTGCTCGCTCTTTTCTTCCAGAGCCATCTTTCTGTCTGGCTCTCCTCTTCAATAAACTGCAACCTTCTTTCCAAAGCAGCCACCATGTTGTTTATTCCCAGCTTGGACTGGACCCTGATAAAGATTTTTCCCACAACGGCCGTGATCCGGTCTAAAGCAGCTGAATTGTTAAAAAAGGAGCTTCTCCTGGCCCAGATCCCAGCTTCTCTCTGGTGGCTCCATGTTTTAGCTCTGCTTCCAGCTGTCCCTAGGGAGGCCAGGGCCAGCCCTCAGCCCGGGGGTCTCCGGGGCCGGACCTGGCCTGGGCAGATTGTGGAACAGCCCTGAAGCTGCAGGGCCGAGAGCCCTGGCTGGCCCCGGGCGTTGATCCCCTGGACCACGAACGGTTCGTGAGCAGCTTCCAGGTCAGCCAGCCAGCTTCCTGTGGCTCCGGGCTTGGCACAGAAACACCAAAAAGATTCCAAACAGAATCAGAGACCTTTTGGGAGAGAATCAACCTAAAAAGAGGGGGGGGGCTCTTCTGCCTTCCCAGTGGCTGCTTCCCCCCCAAACTAGGATAGTCATTTCTCCCCACCCCTCCCTTTTCTCTCCAGCCTTAATTAGCATTAGAAAAGAGCCTTTTCTCACCTGCCCGTGCCCCCTGCAGTCCACACAATTGTGTGAGAGGGCCCCCCTGGGAGAGCCTTTGGGATCTGCTCCATTTAGTGACCAGGCAGCGGGTTGAATCCTTCCCAGCTTCCCATCCTAACTTCCTTCGAGGATGTTGTCAGGGCTAATTAATTAGCAGTGGTAAAGGGTTAGTTAAGTGCTCCGAGCTTGTATTACCTCGTCACTTACAGAATTGCTCTGCCGTTGCTTTTGCTGTTTTACCTCTGTGTAAAACCCCTTGCTTTGGCCCGGCCGGGTGTGATCAGGAGAAGATTGAGCCTCTGATTCGCACAGCTGGAGGGCAGCCAGGCACCTCTGCCGGTTTTCCCACCCCGGCTATTCCAGCCCTGATGTCTGTCGAGTCAGCCACACACGTCCAGTCAGGGGGAGCGTCTGGGACGGCTCGGGTGCTAAAAAGTGTTTTGGAGGCCAATTTAAGCGCCATCTAAGACACGGAGAGCCAACCAAGCTGAAACCAGCGGGGGCTGCCCTGAAGCGGAGGTTGTTGTGAGAAGAAAAAGGCTGATGGGAAAGAGGAGACTGGGGGGGGGGGTCATCCAGAGGGTCCCTCCCATTAGCCATCTCTTGCCCGGAGGATGAAGGACGACGGGCAAGCAAGTGGTCTGCTAAGCCTCGGCCACCCTGGTGTCTCCAGATGTGCCGTACTGGCTGGGACGATGAATTGGCCGAGCGCATTGGGAAGAAGGCACCGGGTGGGGGAGCGCTTGTCAGCCAGCTGAATATGGTACGAATTGAACTGCAGTTCCATTAAATTTTGTAGATGTGGTCAAAAACCAGAGGTTTTTGTGTGGAAACCATAAGAGAAGAGCTTATAGGAAGCTGAAAGCGCTGCATATCCCCTTGTTTACCTGATCAGACTCTGAACCACAAAAGAGCTATTTCAGTTCGGATCCTTGGGTCGTTGGTGAGATTCTCATACGGAAGTCCTCCTTGTGTGTGACGCCCTTTCCCTTCTTTTATTCGATTATTTCCCTGGCTATGGCACCCCAGACTCATTTCTGTGTGGCAAATAGGGGGCTAACCTGAGAGAGACGAGAAATGGTCTTCTCAAGATGTCGACTGAGATGCCTTCACGTCTCGGCCACAGAAGTGCCCAGATGTCCAGCGGGAGCCACTGAGGCGCCTCTGATTTTGGAAACACTTTTTTAATGGGCTGCATAAAGGCCTTCGGCTGCTGACAGGGCCGGACCCAAGAGGGATGTCAAAAACCGTCTCCTTGAACCCCGTGGTCCTTCTAGGACGGGGCTGGAGAGGCCTGGGCAGCTCTTTTCCTAAGGACCTGGGATTCTGACTTGACTGGCCTAGGCCAGGGGTAGTCAACCTTGGCTCTTTTATGACTGGTGGACTTCAACTCCCAGAATTCCCGAGCCAGCCATGCTGAGGGGAAAGGAAGAGTTTCCAAGCTGAGCCATGCTGGCTCAGGAATTCTGGGAGGTTAAGCCCACCAGTCACGAAGGGGCCTAGGCCTAGGCCAGAGGTAGGCAACCTTGGCTCTTTTATGACTCGTGGACTTCAACTCCCAGAATTCCTGAGCCAGCATGGCTCAGCTTGGAACCTTCTCCTTTCCCCTCAGCATGGCTGGCTCAGGAATTCTGGGAGTTGAAGTCCACCAGTCATAAAAGAGCCAAGGTTGACTACCCCTGGCCTAGGGGAGGAAGAGACTCTTCCTTGCCCCAAGAGGGGGGCAAAGTGGCCACAGCCCCACCTGACCAGCTGCAGCACACATGGGCCCCACTACAAGCATCTCTCCGGGTCCCGTTGTAGGGCAGGGTTAGTCAACCCCCCCTCCCCTGCAGTGGGTTATGGGATGAGGTGGGTGTCCCCCCAGAGCTGACCCCGGAAAAATGAATCTGACCTCCTGCTCGCCTCCTTGCTGCCTTTTGGGTAAGGGTCTCCCTTGTCACTTTCGGCCTGCATATTTGAACCAGCGACTTTAATCCTGTCTTTTGCTTTTCCAGCTTTGGAGAGCACAGAAAATAAAACAGGTAACCTGCTCCCTCCTGGGGAATGGAGAATGCTTCTGCTGGGGCTGCCCTTGGCCCTGACAGGGAAGGTGGGGCGCCCTTGTGACCATGGGGGTCCCCGAGTAGCCATCCTGGGCACAGTGGGAGAGAGTCTTTTCCCCCAGGGACTCCTGGTCTTCCAAGGGAGGCTCAGCCAATTTCACTGTATACATGTTATACTTTGATAATAAAGGGTTTATTAATTATTATTATTATTATTATTATTATTATTATTATTATTATCATCATCATCATCATCATCATCATCATTATCATTATCATTATCATTATCATTATTTCAAGGACTTGGGGGGGCAGCCCTTCCAGAGCCTGGGTTGGGAAAAGATGGGATTCGGAGTTCAGATTCCTCCACATTCCTTTGAGGATGAGGAAGACTTTTCTTCCTCCACCTCCTCCCCAAATAGCTTGACTTCAGCCTGGATGGCTGGTGTGGGTGTGTGTGATTTTGATCTCCCCCCCTACACACACACTCCAAGAAACAGACTTTTGTATGGGAAGGAGCTCAGAAAGGGTGGGGGGGGTGCTGTCCAGGGAGTGGTCAGGGCAGAGGGGAAGGAGATGCAACTGAGGAAGAAGGGATGGAGAGAGAAACTTGGAAAGGATCTGCCAGAGCTGCTCAGGCTGAAAAAGTGACAGTGGGAGGTTTGTACCTTCACATTTACAAGGAGACCTGCTGACTGCAGCCTTATAATAAAACAGAATTAGCTCACCTGGGGGGCGTTTCCTGCCTGGCCTACTTGGGAGGGTGGCAGATTCTGGGGTAGCGGCCTCCAATTTCACTGCCTCTCCTGCTTTTCTAGGCCATCATCCACCCGGACACGAACCAGACCATTTTCATGCCTTTCCGAATGTCAGGTATGGCCCTGTGGAGATTTGCTGGGCTTCGGGGTGCTCGCCTTCTCCAAACCTTGGTGCTTCTGTGTGTGGTCAGTGCCTCCTTCAGCCACTCCATGGCCCGTCTCCAGCTCAGCGGGAGAAATTCTCCCTCGGTTTCGGTGGAAAGGTCCGGCCTGATCCCAGCAGCCGAGGGCCCCATCACCTCCCTTGCCTCCATCTCATTGTAAACCATCAGATAGTTAAAAGAGGGAGAGGATGATGAGATCGGTCACCCTAAGGCAGGAGTCCCCAACCCCCGGGCTGTGGACCGGCACCTGTCCACGGCATGCCAGAAAATGGGCCGCGCAAACAAGCAAAGCCCCATCCGCGGGATGCAGGCAGTACATGAAACCACGCCCCCTCCGGTCTACGGGAAAACCTTGAACCGGTCCCTGGTGCTTCAAAGATTGGGGACCTCTGCCCTAAGGCTTGAGGGGTCCCAGATGTTCCACCAGAGAGAGAGCCATCTGCCCAAAAGATTTGAAATTGGCCTCCTGCCCTGAGTGGCCACAGGAGTTGCACCCAACCCTGGATTCTCATCCCCATAGGTGACCTAGATTGGCAGCAGGTTAATGAGCCCACGTGACCTTCCTCAACTCAGGTGTCCTGTGCCTATAAATTCATACTCTGCCCTTGTGTGCCCCGAAGTGAAACCCGGTTATTCTGTTGTTTGTCTCGTGGGAGAAAGGAAAGGCCACCTAGGTTCACTAAGGAAATAGTTACACTGGCCATCGTTCCCTGACCCAACAGGTTCTAGATGCATTCAGGCTACACCTCCCAGGATGCCTCATGGGCCTTCTGCAAGTCTTGGTTTACACCAGGGGTAGGCAACCTTGGCTCTTTTATGACTCGTGGACTTCAACTCCCAGAATTCATAGCTGGCTCAGGAATTCTGGGAGTTGAAGTCCACGAGTCGTAAAAGAGCCAAGGTTGCCTACCCCTGGTTTACACCCATTTGAGAATCTGGGCTGCAAAACTATGGCCGGCCACTAGATGGCAGAGACGCGACTTCTCTGTGCTGCCCTCCAGTGTTCACCTGAGTTCGTGCAACCCACATCCAGAGCTCTGCTTGAAGGGGGGGGGGAGCATCTGGGTCTCAAACAATGCCTTTCTTTTTCCCTTAGGTTACATTCCTTTTGGCACGCCTATTGTAAGTGTGAAAGCCTCGCACCTTTCTTCTGCTTAGCAAGAAATGCCCTTTTTAGCTTTGACTCCCGGTTCTCTGGCTCAGTCGGGACGTTCCTGACAGGGTCCTTAGGCGCCAAGAAGCCCCCGGGAGGCACCTGACTGCTTGCCGCTGCCTTACTAGGCTGCTTGTGGAGCATCGGCCCCAAAGACCCCTTTCCTCTCTGGGACCCTGGCGCCCGGCTGAAGTGGGCGGGCTGCCCTCGGCCTCCGCCCGGCATGGCTGCTGCTGGCAGGGGGGTGAAGGACCAGGAAACGGGACAGCCAGCTCAGCGAGCGGAGGCAGCCTCTGGGACGGGGACGGAAGAGGAGACCTGCAGTCAGAGAGGTGGAATCGAGCCATGCCTGGCTGCCATTTTCTGGGGCTCCGGGACTTTTTAAGGGAGCAGGCCACGCCAATGGGCAGACGTCTGCTTGGGGCAGCCCTGTGCGTGTCCGGGTCCGCAGCGGCTCCAGCCCCTCGCCTCCTTCCGGGGGAAGCATAGGCCCCCCGTTGCCGCCGTCGCCGCCATCCTCCCCCCGGGGGGCTGCCTGTCCCTCCAGCTCTTCGTTCTGGCCACATTGCCGGAGACATATGGGCCTGGCAGTAATGATCTCTTGAAGGAAGGCATGGCAGGGTTCCCAGCGCAAAGAGGGGAAAGGTGTCCTTATTTATGTTTAACATTTGGGTGGTAATCTGTAATTAACTTTGCAAAAAGTTAAACACAAATTTGAGTTAGCGATCAGGTTGACACCAGAATCGGCCCAAATCCAGACCTGTCAGAGGAGCTGAGAGCTGTCAGCGGAGCTCCGTGCGCAAGCTGTAAATGATAAACTGGAACCCCTTGTCATAAAGCAAAAAAAAAAAAATGATTTTCAAATGTTACATTTTAATTTTAACATTTATGCCAATTGATCTGTGAAATGTAGTGACATAATTGGCAGCTCTCTCAATCCCCGTCTGAGTCTTCAGCTGAGCATGCTGGGAAGGAAGGAAGGAGGGGGTGTTTTGAGGGTGGGTGGAGGCTGGGATCCCCCTATCCTTCCTTCCTTCCTTCCTTCCTTCCTTCCTTCCTTCCTT